AATTAAAATAATTAGAATTAGAAGAATTAAAATTAAAATAATTAGAATTAGAAGAATTAAAATTAAAATAATTAGAATTAGAAGAATTAAAATTAAAATAATTAGAATTAGAAGAATTAAAATAATTAAGAGAATTAGAAGAATTAAAATAATTAGAACAATTAGAACTTTAGGTAATAAATAAAGAAAAAAAAGAGGATAAATTTTTTATAATAACATACCTTGACGTCGTTTACTTTCCAATATATCGTAATCATGAGAACTACGATGTGTAGTAACTTGTAGAGGATTTAGAAAAGACGCGTTGACATCCAAAGGTTGATCAGTGTCTACAAGAAAAAAGAAAGATTAAAAAAGAATTGAAAAAAAATATATATATATATATATAATATTATATATAATAAGAAATTACCATCGAATTCATCGATTTCATTAAACACAAGAGACCCAACTTTTAAAGAAGAATCATCTAAAGAACCAGGAGTTTCAATAAATCCTCTAGAGCTTAATAAAATTTCATCTTCACTGGTATATTCTTCTTCAGTAGTTTCATCCTTTCTTTTAGATGCATCGTCAGAAGAATTTTCATCAGAACTTTGAGACCCAGCAAAAAATTTGCTACTTCTAGTAGGGCTCTTGTCGTTTATAGACCGTGTGCTGGCAGTCATGGAAAGAAAATTGTGGTAGAGATCATGGTATTGTCTATTCTGGAAGGTACGAAGACGTTATATTGTATTAAAACAATAAAAAAAAAAACGAATCGACTAAAGAAGGATGTTTTCTCAACAATGCTAATGCGAAATTCCAAAAAAGTCTTTTGTTAATAAAAAATAAATAAAAAAAGAATAAAAAAAGAATAAAAAGGGATATAATTTATGCAATATATACCTAGTTTTAGTATTAATATTATTAATGAAAATAACTTTAATGACTTCGCAACGACAGAATTTTAAGAAACGTTGATGAGAAGTCGTTCGGATGAAGAAACACGTTAACGTTAATGAGCCTTTTTTTATACTTGATATGCAATAGGGGTCATGTCAGATGATGATTGGACATAATGATAAGAGTGGTCACGCGTGCGTCTTTAAATATTATGCGCATTGATTGTAAAACGCTTCTGTACCTGGTACATACCGATACAGTACCTGGTACGTACGTACGTACGTACGTACTGTATCTATCGCTACATATCGACAATGTCGCGTTAGTACCGGTATCGGTATTGATTTTTTCCTCACTAATCGGAGTGCCAACTAGGCGGTTAATAAATACGGATTTAATACGTAAAAAAATTTAAAATAATCCTGAATCCTTTGCATATAATCAGGATATAAAAAGAGCTAACCTTTTTCATTTAGAAATATACAATATACTGTAAAAGAATGTAAATTTTATTATGCGAATTAGGTAATACAGAGTAGGTTAAATACAAGTATTTTAACTTTTATGACATCGACACTTAGTAATTCTGTAATTATAGACCATATCGATATATTTTGATGAATTTTTAAAGCCATGATTTAAATTTAAATTTATCAAAGATAAAAAAAAAGTTTGTCATATATAGTATATATATATATGTCGTACGTCGGAATTGAATTATTATAGATTTAGAATCCATCGATGTTGATTCCAAATAAACATAAGTTGTGCCCGAGTCGTTAAAGAATTCTAATTTAACTTACAATAAAAATTAAGTGTATTCCAAATTATTTCATCGAAATGTTGTGTTGGAGTTTAAGTCGCTTTAAGACAGAGTTTATTCAATTAAATTTAAAAGTATTACATGAGGTTTTTATCTAAATACATTTACAATGATTTTTTATCACGCGCTTT